CCTTCGCGAAGACTTGCACCCACCGTCCCATCAGTATCATCCACCCTGCCTTCTCCTCTAGATCAGGGGTCAGCAAACTTGTGCAAATGAAGTCTTATCGAGACACAGCCACGCCCATTTTTTTAATGCATCATCCATGGCTGCTGTCAGGCTAGCCAGGGGCATTGGCACGTCAGGCATTTGGGTGCTGACATTTTAAGTTCACCTATTTTTGTGTGCATTGGAAAGCAAAGAGCACTATAGTGGAATGCTTTTCTTTAGGCAGGATTTCTACCTCCAGAGTGTGGACATGAGCTTAGTTTAGTTGTTACGCCAGAGACCATATGGCTTGCAAAGTCTAAAATATCTACTGTCTGGTCTTTTATAGAAAAAGTTTGCTGACCCCTGGCTTAGCCTAAAGAGATTTCACCCCTGAGTTTTGAGAAAAGAGAAAGGGGCACCTGAACAAAAACAGGCTTCTGCCAGCCACAAAGAGGAAAGAAATGGCTGTCGATACCTAAGAATGCCAGAGGCAAAGACCCCGCGTGACCAGGTGTCTGTCACATCCTAGGACAATGGTTAACCTCTCTACACCTCAGCCCCTGCCCTGAGAGGTGAAACTGACTCCCCTCTATTACATGGCTGCTGTGAAAACCCCATGAGGTGATGTGAGTGAACATTCTCTGGAAGCCTCAGCTCAACTCCCTTGCTCTTGGTCAGTACCTGCTGAGGAGGAACGTAGGCCTACCTCAAGGAAGCAGACCCTGGAACCCACATACAGGAGTTCACGCCTGGCTCCCTTACCTGTTAGCGGTGAGGCCTTAGCCAGCAGCTTCCTCGGTGCCCAGAGCCTTAGTCACCTCATCAATATAATGAGGACAACGATAGCCATTGGGTGTTACTGCAATGATAGATGTCACAAGGAAGGTTTCCAGTACAAAACGACACTCCCCGTTCATGGTGGCAGTGTTTTTCCTGCCTTATGGACCTTACATAAGCAACAAACACCACATGAATGCAAATGTCAATTGGTTATTTTTATCCTGATCCAGTGCATCTATGTAGGAGGACCAGGCTCAAGACTCTGGTTCAGAAGGGATATGAATTGAATCCAAGCTTTCCTCATTGTTAGCCCAGTCTCTTTTACAACTCCTCTCTGCAGCTAATTTGCTTTGTGACCTTTGGAAAATCAGTCAAGCTCTCTGGGGCCTAGTTTTCCACTCTCTGGAATGGAAATCATACCCACTGCATGTGTCAACTTGACTGGGCCACGTGCCCAGATGTGTCAAACATCAGCCTGGATCTTTCCTCCTTCCTTCCTTCTTTCCTTCCTTCTTTTCTTTCTTTCTTTCTTCTTTCTTTCCTTCCCTCCTTCTTCTTTCTTTCCTTCCTTCTTTCTTTCTCTCTTTCTTTCTTTCCAGAATCTCTGTCATCCAGGCTGAGTACAGTGGTACAGTCTTGGCTCACTACAACCTCTGCCTCTCAGCTTCCTCCTTCCTTCCTTCCTTCTTTCCTTCCTTCTTTTCTTTCTTTCTTCTTTCTTTCCTTCCCTCCTTCTTCTTTCTTTCCTTCCTTCTTTCTTTCTCTCTTTCTTTCTTTCCAAAATCTCTGTCATCCAGGCTGAGTACAGTGGTACAGTCTTGGCTCACTACAACCTCTGCCTCTCAGCTTCAGGAAATCTTCCCACCTCAGTCTCTTGAGTAGCTGAGGCTATAGTGCATACAGCACTATGCCCAGCTAATTTTTTTTTTTTTTGAGAGATGAATTTTTGTCATGTTGCTCAGGCTGGTTTCGAAATCTTGGACTCAAATGATCTGCCTGCCTTGGCCTCCCATGGTGCTGGGATTGCTGGTGTGAGCCACTATGCCCAGATGATGTTTTTATAAGAGTGTTTTTGAATGAGATGCACATTTAGATAGGTTAACTATGAATAAAGCAGATTGCCTTCCATAATGTGAATGGCCTTATCCAATCAGTTGAAGGCCCCGATACAAGCAAAGGCTGGACTCACCTTAGCAAGAAGGAATTCTGCCAGTACACAACCTCCAGACTTGAACTACAACCTGGCTCTTTCCTGGGTCTGCACTCTGTGGTCTTTGAATGTGCCAGCCTCCGTAATCTCATGAGCCAATTCTTTAAGTAAGTCTGTCTTTCTATATACGTATATGCTATTGTTACTATTTCTTTGACGAACCCTGACTAATGCACCCAACCCTACCCACAAAGCCCCAGAGAATCCAGAAAGATACTTAGTATCTCCATGCACCTATGGCTACAGATGTCCCAGCAGAGCCATTACACTGGCCCTTGTGTCTCAGGGTCCGAGGGATGCAGAGGATGTAAAGTCCTCTCCAGCTTCAGGCAAAGGGGTACTAGTAGTTGGGCAGGACTCAGGTCTCAGGGGCATGGAGGAGCTGTCCATGTTGCCAGCAGGAGGAAGGAGTGAGGGTCTACCATGAAGCTCTGGGCTGACCTCTGTCCCAACTCCTGATGTGTTGATCGGCTAGGGCTGCTTGACAAATTACCACAATCTGCAGGGCTTAAAACAACAGAGATATATTCTCTTATAGTTCTGTAGGCTGGAAGTCCAAAATCCAGCTGTTGAGAGAGTCGGGTTCTTCCAGAGGCTCTGTGGGAGAATCTTCCATGCCGCTCTCCCGGCCTCTAGTGTTGGCCCCCAAACCTTGGCTTGCAGGTGCATCACGCCAATCTCTGCCTCCCCCATCACGATCATGTGGCTTCTCCGTTGTGGGTGTCTCTTTGCCTCTTCTTATAAGGACACCACTCCTGTTGAGTTTAGGGTCCACCTTAAGCTGATATGACCTTGTCTTAACTCATTCCATCCGCAAAGACTTTGTTTCTAAATAAGATCACATTCTGAGGTTCTGGGTTGACATGAATTTGGGGGTACACTGTTCAATCCAATACACTTCTGTTGGGAGGTGGGGACAATTTAGCCCCTGGCCAAATGTGGAGCGATCCTTCACCTTCTGTGGCTCTGTGTATCTTGCTCCTTCCCAGGCTGGCCTGGAGACTGGCAGGTGTTTGAAAATGCAGCCCAAGATGCAGCAGGGTTGGAGGAGGCTGATAACTGGTTGGAGCTCATATATGTGCAACACTCCTGTTTTGTGAGATTTTTTGAAATTTTTAAAAAATCATATTAGTAATCCAGCTCTAATCAATAAAATTTGCAAAAACGGCCATTTAAAAAAAAAGAAGAAGATGGCCAGGCACAGCAGCACAAACCTATAATCCCAGTGCTTTGGGAGGCCAAGGTGGTAGGATCTCTTGAGGCCTGGAGCTCAAGACCAGTCTGGGCAACAAAGCAAGACCCTGCCTCTACAAAATTTTTCTTTAAATTAGCCAGGCGTGGCAGTGCACCGACACCCCTGTAGTCCTAACTACTTGGGAGGCTGAGACAGGATTATCACTCAAACCCAGGAGTTCAAGGCTGTGGTGAGCTATGATCATGGGCACTGCACTCCAGCCTGGACAACAGAGTGAGATCCTGTCTCTTTAAAAAGAAAAAAAAAAGGCAATGGGGAAGCTGCGGCAGCCCTACTATCCAGCCCACATGTTGACAGCAGAAACGCCCAAGTTGGAGTGGGTGTGAGTATGGAGGCCTTGGGGCAAGCCCACCCATCCATCTGCCCATGATCATGGGCTTTGAACCGGGGGTGACTAGGATAAATTGATGTTTCCATGGGAACCTGGAGAGTGGCCAGGTGGTAGAATATGAGAAATCTTTTCACTCCACAAGATAAAACACTGCCGCGGTGGTGAGGGGCCCTTAACGGCCCACCTCCCCCATCCTACTGGGCCAGATCCTCAGGAGTCTTTTTACCCTGTTCATGTGGAGGGAGGGGGTGTTGGCCTGCAGCGCACTTTACCTTCTGATAACCAGTGCCCCTGACACTTTTTCAAAGAACTGCCTTTGGGCTTCTGGAGCTACTTTGCTGCCAGGGCAGAAAGCAGGAAGGGCCTGGGAATTTCTATCCTCTGTCCCCTCCCTGGGCTGCACTTGCCAGTGACTAATGGGTGATTAAATTAGCCAGGTATGGCAGTGCACCCACACCCCCATAGTGTTAACTACTTGAGTGGCTGAGGCAAGAGTATTGCTTGAGCCCACAAGTTCAAGGCTGCAGTGAGCTACGATCACAGCACTGTACTCCAGCCTGGACAACAGAGTGAGACCCTGTCTCTTTAAAAAGAAAAAAAAAAAGGCAATGGGGAAGCTGTGGCAGCCCTACTATCCAGCCCACATGTTGAGAGCAGAAACACCCAAGTTGGAGTAGGTGTGAGCATCAAGACCTTGGGGCAAGCCCAAACACTGCTGTGGTTGTGAGGGGCCCTTAAGAGCTCACCTCCCCATCCCACCGAGCCAGATCCTCAGGAGTCACGGCTATGAAAGCCCGGCCTCCCCACCTCAGGTAGGGATACACTCTGAAGCGTAAGTTAACACTTCAGAGCTCTCTTGGCTAAAACGGTCCTCCAAGGGACATGGCCTGAGGTCACACCCTTGCTTGGCTTTTTCAACTTCCCTTCCTGTCTCACCAACTCCCTCCCCAGGTTCTCCCAGACCTCCACTTGTGCAGAAATGCTCATGTCTGTCTGCTTCTAGGGGACCTGACCTGAGACACCCCCTTTCCACAGCAATGTCATTTGTATCCACCTAATGCCAGGCAGCCTTTTATGTCAGTGACACTGGAAGCCACCTCTGGCATGTGATTTGAAAGACCCAGGACCCCATAAGCTCTTTCTGGTTGTTGCTGCTGTGCCTGAAATCCCGTCTCTGAAATTCGTTCCCTTGGAATGTGTCTCTCACCTCCCTTAAAATGCAGGTGCTCCTGGGGGACCAGGTTTATCGCTGGCATTAATATGGCTCCTTGGAGTGCAGTTTCCCAGTAAATCAGAAGCATTTTGCAGCAGCTGCTGCTATTGCTGCACCAGTCGACTGGGTCCATTCCACTGGAGTGACCCTGAGCAAAATCACAAAGGCAGAAAACTGAGCATTGCCTGCCTCGTCCTGCAGTGCCCTTCTCCCCTCCTGGCTCCTTCCTGGAGTCATCCTGTATATCCTTCTCTCTGCTGGATGAAGGCTAATCTACTCAAGGTGTAAAATTATCGTGATGATGATAATGAATGCGATGAGAAAGTGCGATTATTTTTAGGGTTATTGTTTAGGGTTATTATTGTTCCTAAGGATGCTGCTTTGTAATTGGGATTTCGGGAACATTGCAGATGACCATGGGACCCAGGGGGTAGCTTCAGTGGTAAAACTCAGGCACTGTGATCCCCAGATGAGAGATGGAGTTCGGAATCCTGCCCAGTCCCCCTCAAATTAACAGTCAGGGCACACGGGGCTGCGCTCTACAGCACCTTTGTGCAAATTAAGAAAAGATGGCCTCTCTGGGTAAATGGATTAGAAAACTGTACCTCCTTAGGGCAGATGCAGCTCCAAGGGTCCACAGCCTCAGGAGTGATCACAGGCTGGATTTCAGCCCCACTTACTTACCTGCCGGGTACTTTTGAGCAGTACACAAACCACCCCACCGTACAAGGCAATCCTGAAGACCCCAACTAGTAATAGTAATGGCCAACATTTAGTTTACTCTGTGCTGGCATTGTAGTAAACACCTGACATCAATCCCATGAAGCCGCTACACTTTGCATAAGCCCCATTTTACAAATGAGGAAACTGAGGCTCAAAGCAGTGAAGTAAATCCCTTCAAGACACACAGCAAACAAATGAAAGTTCTGGGGCTCGAACTCCCGCAGTCTGGTGCTACAGGAAATGCTTTCTGTTCTTAATATTTTGGAAGGGAGAAGGGTGGCAGAGGGCAAGAAAATATTGTCAGAAAATTAAATTAGCAGGAAAGAGGAAGTGTATTGGCTGGGGCGTTATGGGGTGAGGCAGCGTGGCCCAGTGGGCAGAGCGTTGATCTGGAGGTCACAAGGCCCAGGTTAGACTTTCAAGTCTGCCTTTTACCAGCTGGGTGCCCCAGACAAGCCCCTCAACCTCTAGACCTCAGCATCCTCACTTGTGAATATCTGAATATGGGAGGCAGATCTCCAAGGATCCTTTAAAGCTCTCGGATTTCCATTCCCACCACCAGTCCTAAGAGTGGCTGCAGAGGGACAGGAGTGGGCCAGGGTTCCCAGCGTCGTGTAGGTGAGGCGGGCAGGGCAGGGCCTGTGCATCCTTAGCCCTGCCCCAGCTCTGTACTCCCAGTATTTTCATTGCTGTTACCATCCTGATCGGGTCCGCAGCAGCTGCTGTCTTAATCCAATAGAGCTATTTATCAAACACACACAATTAAGGCCATGGTTGCCAAGATCAGCCAAATAGATTTATTCCAGAAGTGGAGAAGAGCCTGGGGGTGGGGAGGGGAAGGAAAAAGAGCTGGAGAGTGGGTGAGCGCTGAGCTGCCATAAGCATGATCAAGAAGGAGCTAGAAGTATGAGGTTCCTGGAGACTGGCTTTGTGCCAGGTGAATCTATATGCATTATCTGTGCTTATTACCCCATTTTACAGATGAGGCAAGTGGTGCACAGACAGGTCACACAACCTGCCCAGGGTCCCACCCGCATCAAGGGGCAGAGCTTGCATTCAAACTGAGGGGACCTAGCTTAGGGGGTGTGCTCTAAACCACTGTGTCACATGGGGCAAGAGAAATCTTAAAATAGAAACTGGGACTGAGCATCGGCCTAGGAGACAGCAAGATTTCAGATATCAGACACCACGAGGTGAGGCGAGTCTCCTGGAGCAGATTTTTACAAAGGAAAATTTTGAGAACTGGTTCCATGATTCTTGGACTCCTTTGCCAGATCAAGGATATGAAAGAGGGAACAGAGGAAGGGAGGTGCATGGAGATCTCTCTGGGGAGCTGGTGCTATGCTGTGATACTCACTCCTTAAGAAGAATGAGGGGCTTCCATAAGAGAGGTGGTCCCCACAGTTGGAAACTCAGAGGCCCAGGGCCTGCCCAGCTGAGAAAGCTGCCGTGGCCTGGGGCAGAAGACTGAGGATGCAAAGGGTTATATGTGTGTGTCTCTTGGAGTCCTGATTGTGCCATGTGTATGCAAACACCACGTGAGGGAGGTTTGCCACCAGGACTGCCCAGGGACGGAGGGGTTCAGCAGCAAGACACTGGAGGCAGGCTCCCTGCTCCTTGGGACCTGGTCATGAGGCACAGCCATGGCTTGAAATGGAACATTGACCTCCCAGGCCAAGGCGACTGCAGGTGGAAGATGCCCATGCCTGAGTCCCCAAGGAGCCTACATCTGCACCCCATGGGGACCCTGGTTTAACCTTGCCTTGGTGCATAAAAAACCACAGCGCCTGAGTGAGGATTGGTGAGCAGAGTGAGAGAAAATAGCAACTCTGTGTCTTCCCTGCCAGCCCTGACCCCAAGAAGGGAGAGGGAAGGGAAGCAGTTACCTGTGAACAAAGACTGGAGTATAGATTGATATCACAAACTGGACAGTCTGAATCAAGCTGGTTCTGTGATTCTATCTGCTGATGATCTAAGGGCAAGCAGAAAGCAATGGGAACAGCCCCAGTGTCCACCTGGTGCAGGGGATGGTGCCATCCACTGAGGGCATTCCAGAGGGAGGGTGGAGGAAAAGTAGTTGAGCTGGGAACACTTCTTGGGAGAGGGCATTTGCCATGCTGGCCACTCTGGGTGCAGAGTATGATGGGACCCAAAAGGCCAGGTCCCATTGAGATGGTTGATGAAGGTCCCACATATTCTTTCTGGGTCACCACTGACCTCTTCTTTGATTCCTGCACTGGGCCGCCCATCCTGGCCAGCAAACTACTTCCTCCCATCATTGGTCAGGGAGACAGCCTTTCCTTAAAGGACCCTCTATCTCCTCACCTAGTGGGTGGGCTTCTCGCAGGAACAGGCGTGCATGGAGCTGGAGAGGAGAAATCCAGCTAGGCTTGTGTTCAGGTGCATGTCCTGTGAGCACAGAGTGAATGCAGCGGTGCTGCCCATTCCAGGACCAAGACACTCAGCCTCCAGCTACCAGGAGCATTGAACGGCGTACAGCTGAGGCCTGTTCTGACCAATGCCCTCAACTAGAAAGAGCCATCTTGCCCAAACATACTTACCTTCCCTGTGTCCAGTGACCAGTTTACACAGATATACAAAGGCCCAGCCCATTTACATCAATTCTGGACCTCTTTGAAGGGCTGTGGCAGTGTCAGAGCTCCCTGGGGGATGGGCTGAGGCCTCCCCTGTGACTGCATCGCAGCTCCACTTCTCCCTGCCACCTAAGCCTGCCTCCCTCACTCCCTTGCTATGCTGCTTCCAAGAGCTCTGCCCAGTAAGCCTCCCACATGCAAGTTACCATCTCAGAGGCTGTTTCCCAAGAATCTGAGCTAAGATTGGGCCTTCCTCTGTGTGGGCACTCGTGTGTGCATGTGTTCATGTGTGTGCATGTTGAAGGGAGATCTCCATGTATGTGCATGTGTTCGTGTGTGCATCTTGAAGGGTGTATAAGGCAAGTGTGTAAGCACAGGTGAGGGTGTGTGGGTGTGTAGGCAGGTGGACACGGGGTGGGAATACATGAGATTGTGTATGAATGTGGGTGTGTGAGAGTTTGTGTGAGGGCTGATGTTGGAACATATGTGAGCAGGATTGTGTGTGTGTGTGTATGTGTACGTGTGTGCCCACAGCAGGTAGCCCAGGCAGATTCTGCCCCTATCTCTCTCTCTGTCTCTCTCTCTACTGTTCCCCTCACCCATTTCTTCTCCTTGCTCAATCAAGGACCACCCTCTTACCCTGGGGAAAGCCCCCATGGAAGCCAGAGGCCATGTCTGGACAGAGGAACGGGACCCTGGCATTGTAGTAATGGAGAATGGGAAAATTACAAGGAGGAAGGGGACAAAGTAGCCTTTATTTGCTCCAACTGTCCTCTTCTCACTCACACCAGTGATGGGGGGGCTCAAGCACCCACAGCCAAGCCCACCTGTCAGGACACCTTCCCCTTAGAAACTCCCAATGGGCTGCCCTATCACTTCCAGTCACCCATCTGGGCCCCTCCCTCCTGCCCAGGCTGATCCAAGGCAGCCGAGCCCCTCTTGAAATGCCATTCATCATTCCCCATGTGAGGATGCTGAGCCCTGCTCCCAATTCTGGGTTCCACCCCCACCCCCCGACACTCTGTGGGGTCCAGATGTGGCTGACCAAGGCCAAGAGCAGATAGGAAAACAGTCCTTCCCGTCACCACCACCTGCGTGAAGTTAGGGAACTATGTCTGGGTCCACTGTTTTAGTAGCCACAGCACGTTGTTTGTGCTTACATTGACCTTGGGGGCCAAATAAAAATGACCAGATTGTTTCAGGTGGAATTCTGCCAAGCCAGCTCCATCCACCCACCCTGGGCTTATTCCTAGAATCATTGATTTTTTTTTTTTTTTTTTTTTTTTTTTGATCTGGAAGTGCCTGACTTTACATTGATTACTGTTAAATATCTTCGTGTTGATTTTGGCCCAGCAATTCTGCCTGGGAAGACAGTTTGGATCATAAATCAGCTACAGCAAAGTAACTTGTGCTTTCGAGGTTTGGATGGACACATCTTTTGTGTTTTCATCCAAGTGTCTGTCGAAATTACTGGACAGGCTGGAGCCAGGACAATGTTTTGCACTGAAAATCCCTCTCCCAATTCATTCCCTGCCACCCAAACTTCTTGAGTAGAAGCTGTTCAAACCACCATGAACCTGGGCTCTATCTACTGATCTGCTAATCCAGTCCTCCTGTGGGAAAAGGGGAAACATGACTTTAGTGAGCCTAGGCTTGCCGTTGGACCATGCCATGTTCTTTCCCAGATGCTCCTGGATTTTCTTCCCAGTCACCCAGTCTAGGCTGTTTCTAACATAATCAGAATCCACTCTTCCACCTTTTTTTTGGCAAAGGCTGCTTTGCCCCCTTTCATCTCCTTTTAATTTTCTCTTTCTCTGTGACTCTTAGAAATCCCACAGAATCCTGGAAGTCCCTTTTATATGGGGTAACCATATAATTTTTCAACCAAAAGAGGTAACTTTGAGAGTGTGTTAGTTATCAATTGCTTCGTAACAAATTCCCCTAAAATTTAGCAGCTAAAAACAACATTTACTATCTCATAATTTCTGTGGGTGAGGAGTTTGGGCGTGTCTTGGCTGGGAGTTCTGGATTGGAGTCCCTTATGAAGTTGCAGGCAAGGTGCTGACCCAGGCTGCAAGCATCTGAAAGCTTGTCTGGGGCTGGTGGATCCATTTCCAAGATGGCTGACATGGCTGTTGGCAGGAGGCCTCATTTTCTTGCCACGTGGGCCTCTCTGCAGGACTGCCTGAATTTCCTCACAATGTGGCTGTGGCTCGGCAGCGTGAGTGATCCAAGAAAGACAGTGAGGAGGAGGCTGAAGAGTCTTTTATGACATAGTCCCGAGAGAGACACACTGTCACTTTCGCCATATTCTATTCATTAGAAGCAAGTCACCAAGTCCCAGCCCACATTTGAGAGAAGGAAATTTAGGTCTCACCTTTTGAAAGAAAGAGTGTCTAAAAAATGTGTGTTCATATTTTAAAATCACCACAGGGAGTGAAAGGAGCTGGTGGATAATTACACCAGGATGATGAGGTGAGCCAGGTCTGTCCTAAACAGAACACTTTTGATCACCCAACTCCAGACCATTTGGACCCAGAGCCACAGTGAAAAATCCATCCTGACTCTCTTCACATGCCCACGCATAACCTAAACAAAAGCTCACAAAACAGCATTTAACCTTACCATATGCATTGACAATATAAAATATTCCATTTCATTCTATTTTATTCTTTTCTACTCTGTGTGTTCTTAAAATATTGGTATAGGCAACTAAATTTATTTCACAACCCACTAATGGTTAGCAACTCAGTTTGCAAAAGCAAACTGCTATCCCACAGTGTGCTTTTTGTGTACAATGAAGCAACTTCCATTCTCCATCTATTTTGGAGCTCTCCATGGGTCTGACTCAAGTTTCTTAACCTACTTTTCGTATCTCTTTGACCCCTCCTTCCTTGGCATACACACACACGAGCTTTAGCTCTACAGAGTCACTGAGTCATGAGATGCATGAAAGACACCGGACAAGGAGTCACACCCGTCTTCTTTATGATATCCATGGCAGACATTACTAATCAATCATGGTACTGTCCCATTAGGCTCAATGTCCACTTCAGAATCTTTCCTAACCCAGCACTCCAGACATTTTTTTTTTTTTTTTTTTGGCAGAGGGGACAAAAGTCTATTTTACAAACCATTTCTCTGAAGCTGAAAATCAAACTCTCTGAGTCTCAGACAGATGAAGAGGCTTTCTCAAGGTCACACGGCTGATTAGTGGTGAGGCAGAAACTGGAAGTCCGCTCCCTGGCTCGCAGGCCACTGGTCACTGGTGTCTCTGCTGACCAAGAGCTTCACAAACATGTTGTTTTTTCTTTTTTCTTTTTTTTTAAGACAATGTCTCGCTTTGCTCTGTCTCCCAGGCTGGAATGCAATGGCGTGATATTGGCTCACTGCAGCTTCCACCTCCTGGGTTCAAGTAATTCTCTTGCCTCAGCCTCCCAAGTAGCTGGGACTACAGGCATGTACCACCATGCCCAGCCTAATTTTTTTTATTTTTATTTTTTTTTATTTTTAGTAGAGTCAGGTTTCAACTTGTTGGCTACGCTGGTCTTGAACTTCTGACCTCAAGTGATCCACCTGCCTCAGCTTCCCAAAGTGCTGGGATTACCGGCATGAGCCACTGCACCCTGCCAGCTTCACAGACTTTGACTATTCATTTATTGTCATCTTTGAACTAATTCTCCTGACCTGGATCCAGTGATCCAGTCCATACCTGAACTGCCCTTCCTCCATGCCCACCACTCACCCAAGCTGTTAATGAGACCCCAGACTCTTCCCAGGGAGAGCCTCACCTGGGGATTGACCTGCATGGGGTTACCACCAAGAGAAGCATCTTTGTGTGAGATGCAAGAAACATCAGGAAAAACTCGCTCATCCTCTGGTCCAGCTGTACCCCATCAGCTGGAATCAAGGGGTCTGGAGCCCCCCAAACCACCTGTTACCACCAAGTGGGCTCAGGCTGAGGCCTTGAGTTGTTTCATGTGACTGCTCATCCTCTGGTGCCAGCCCAGGCATCAGCTTAGAGATAAGAAGACAAACAAGAATATGGGCATCACAGGTAAACTTCCAGTTACCATGCTGCCCGGAGGGCGCTGTTATTGAAGTGGCCTGGAGTGCTACCTGAGCACTGAGAGCAACATCTCTCCCTGAGACACCCTATACGTCAGGTGAAGCTTTCAAAGGATATTCTGTAGTATCTGTAGTAAGAGAACCACAGAAACTAAGGCTCAGAGGAATCAGGGAGCAGTGGGCCCAAGGGAAATACAAACCACTGGATATTGATGGAGAATGCACTGTAAGGCCCAGAGCAGGGAACAGTAGGTGATGAAGCTGCTCCCCGCGTGGCGTTTACATTCTATGGAGGGAGAGAGACAAAAAGAAAGTAAACATATACCCAGAAAATATAGCAGGTGGTGATAGGAGCCAAGGGGAAAGATTATACAGGGGCACCGGGAAAGAGCTAGGGATGCTATTTTTAGATGGGTATTCAGGGAAGGCCTCTCTGAGAAAGGGACATTGAACAGGGACCTAAGATATGCAGGAATGAAGCTGAGGGCACTAAGACCCCAAGGGTTAAGTGGCTGGTGCCAAGCACAGAGTGATTTTGCGGCAGAGCAGGGCCCAGAATCCAGAGCTCCAGGTGTCCGGGGCAGGGCTCTTTTGTGGCTCAGAGCAACCTCCCCACTGATTGTGGACCGGTGTCCGGTACAGCTCAAACCAGGATAGCTTCCAAGCCTTGCTAGCAGGTCAGCCTGCTGACTCTTCCAAGAGAGCTGGAAGTGTTCCCTGAGCTTGGGGATGGCCCCTCTTCAGACCAAAGTCTTATAGCCAAAACTGGTCTATTTCCAGTGTCCCTCATCAAAACCTGGGATCAGTGGGGTTACGGGAAGCTGGGTCAGGTGAGGGCGGTGCCTGCCTGGTATCCTGAAGCTCTTGAGTGAGGCCTGCGCACAGACCAGGGTCGGCTGCCAGGACCCAGGCTGAAACCCAAACACCCCTTTCTCATGGTGCAGTACCATGGGGACATGTCAAATCAACATGGATTAGGCACATGGATAATCAGCTTGAAGGGTTCTTGGTCACATCCCTCCCCCCCCTTCCTTTTCTTGCTTCCTTCTTTTTTAACTATCAGGACTGGGGTGAGGTGAGATGGGTGGGATTGAAAGATGGTTTCTGGGGGCCAGGCATAGCTGGTCCCTTTGTGTCCTAGCAAGCCAAAGGCAATTTACAGTGTCCACACCCCCAACATGCTGAGGTGCAAAACAGGGAAGCAATGAAGATCTAGAGCTCTGAAGTCACACAGACTTAGGTTCAATTCTATTCTAATTCTTGGTGCTTAATCTTGGGCAAGGAAACCACAGCTTTTTGTAAAAGGGGATAACAAAGCATCTTTGTCCCAGATCACTAGACAGTGCAAGCAAGGCCTTCCACACAGTGCCTGGTACAAGCAGCCAGAGATTATGGACACCAGTTATAGTCTCCCTGGGTGCACCATGCCTCTGACTTAGCCAAACTATCTGGGTGAAGATCAAATGTCATCTATGCTCCTTTGTTAGAGGTGAAGGGAGATGCTCTGGAGATAGACTGGAAACTCACTCTCCAGATCTCCTTTTCCCTTGTGCCAAGGTAAATCACATGAATGCATTGGTGAGAAGGATAAGTACATGTTAGCTATAAAATGTTATCCAATCAGGCCACAGTGGGCCTGATTGAGCTAGACTCACACCAGCCTACTGTGGATGTTGTTGGTACCCTACTCAAATCCCGTTTCTGAGCCAGTGCCCATTTCTCAGTTACAGTAAGTATTAGCTGCTAATGGCTCACAGATGCCCCCTAATCTGGAGCATCATCCTCCAGGAGCCAATGTCCTATGGGCATATGTATGTAAGAGGCTCCTCTCCTTGCCTCAAGGTGGGACAACCCTGTGGTTCAATTCGTGTTTCCAAGTTCCCCGTGGGAGTAAGCTGAAGTGAGTCTCCAGATGAGATCTGCCCCCCATCCCCCACCAAGCCCTCCTCTCTTACTCCTTTTCTCCTTTCTCAGTCAATCACATGCACTGAATCCCTGCCTCAGGCTCTGCATCCAGAGACCCAGACCCAAGACACAGACCGCCATGATTCTAGTCTTACAAATGCCTATTGCTTCAGAGTCTTGGGAAGAGGAGCTCCCCCTTCCCCACCCTTGATTCCTGCTACCCCAGAAGACCCTGCCTCACCTATCTGCCCTTCCCCTCCCTGCTACCTTCATGTCTTCTCAATCTCCTCTCCTCAATGCCCTTCCCCTATCCAAATCCCATACCAGCAACTCTTATTTCCTTCCAGGTAATTCCCAAATCCTCATGGCTGCCACATTTGCCTCTCCCCTGCTCAGCCCTACTGTCTCAGATGCCTGCTAGGGGTCTGCACATGGCTGTCTGGCACCTGAAAATGCTCTGACTCTAAAATTGAGCTTCTTTCCCCAAACCCAGCTTCTGCTCCTGGCTGCTGGCTGCTGTAAATGGCATTCCTCTCTACAGCTCTGCAGCCTGCAGACTTGATTGTGTCCTCAATTCCTTCTCTGCTCAGCACCAGCTCTCTCACATCTGTCTTTCTCTCTTCACAGCCTCTTCCGTTCGTCTGCCTCATCTGTTCTGAAACCATCTTGGCAGACATTTGCTGAGAACTTACTACAGGCAAGACACTAAGTTCTTTGTGTTTCTGAACTCAATTTCTTATCATATGCACCCTTGAGAGAGGAATTACTATCTTCATCCTCATTTTCTAAGCGAGGAAACTGAGGCATAGGGAGGTGAAATAATTCAACCAAGGCCATCTAACTAAAGTGATTGGTTGTCTTATTCCAGTTTCCCCAGAAACCAACCTCAAGAGAAGGATTCAAGGGTAAAAAGTGTATTTGGGGCATGATTCCAGGAAACACAGGGAGGGGAGTGGTATAGTTTGTATCTGTGTCCCTACTCAAATCTCATGTTCAGTTGTAATCCCCAGTGTCGGAGGTGGGGCCTGGTGGGAGGAGATTGGATCATGGGCGTGGCTCCTTCATGAATGGTTGAATGCCATACCTTGGTGCTATTTTTGTGATAGAGTTCTCACAAGATACGGTTGTTCTAAAGTGTGTCCATGGTGCTGCTCCTGCCATTTAAGATGGTAAGAACTGGAGCATAATCCGTTTGAGGAACTCAGAAGCAGGGAGCTCAAAAATACTCAAGAGCTGAGGTATTGATACTCAGAAATGCTCAGGGAGCTGGGGTATTGATATACCAACTCCTGTTAGTGCATGCTTGAGAGTTGTTCTAAGGGACCTTGAGTCCCTGGCATTCCCAGTGCATGCAGAAGGGGCTTTTGCAGCCTGAGAAAGTCCTCAAGCAAAGAAATGCTGGTTCTGGGAATTGGTAGTCAGGCTGCTCAATCAAAAAAGTTAGGGCCAAGGGGGCAGGCCTGCTCTAGAGGTAGAGTTGGAACCAAATCCAAGCAGTGTACATCCAGGGGGCATACCTTTAACCACATGTTCTGCCAGCTCTGACATGATTTTGCCCATCATAGCCAATTTATCCTCCTGCCCTGACTTTGAGTTACTTCTCTGCTTAAACTACTTCAGTGAAGACTGGGCTGAAGCTTCCGGGTTTATCTTGCAGTCAAGGTCACCCCCAGAATGACGCTTGCCTCTACTATAAGCATGTTTCCCACTCCACCCTGCAGACACCAGGTCTTACCCTCCCAGCATCTGCACTTCTGCTCATGCTGTGTCTCTGCTGGGATGCCCTCTCTCCATCACTGCCCATTGGTCCTGCCCAACCATAAGGCTGCCTGACCACACAGCCTTTCCTGAGCTCCTGAGTTAGTAGTGAGCCCTTGCACCTCTGTACTCTATAGTTCCTGCTTGCCCTATCAAAAACACTCTGGTTTGTGCTACGGCTGAACTCAGAATCCCAAGGGATTTGGGCTCCTGGGCACTGCATGCAGCAATGATTCTGGTAGCTACCAATAATTCCATCAGCCCCAATGTCCCCTACTCTTGGATGCTGGGGAACAAGGACAGTGCAAGATGGGAAATAGGGGCAAGTGTGCCTCAGTCTAGAGTCCGGGAGAAACAGCAGCGCTTGAATGACTCAGCAAGGGGGTTGAGTGCTGAGGCTGGTGTGGGCTGGGATCAGAGCTGATGAAGTGGGAGTTGGGGATTGGTGACTCACCTTATCCCACACAGAGGACAGCAGCCAAGTGGACTCTGGCTCAGGGGAAAAACATCCAGGGACCGTGCATTCAAGGGGCTCCATCCACAGCTCTCTAGGCCTGTTGCCTTCTCCAAAGCAAAACCCAGTCTCAGCCAAAGTCCTCCAGGATTTGGTCCCCACCCTCCTCCAGTCTCCCACGCTGTGGCTCCTCTCAGCTCTGCTCCAGTCATAGGGACCATTTGAGTTACCAGAAATCTCCATCTCCTTGACTGCCCAGACTTTGCCTGAGCTGTATCCTTTGCTTAGAAGGCCCACTACTTCCCCCGTGATGCTGACGCAACTCCAATAGCAGCCCCGGCAACAACCAAGGTGTGGTTGCAACACCCCACGTGTGAGTTACCTGCTACCTGCCCCTCCCCCAAGTCATCACAACCTTGGGCCTGCTTCACCCTCATGGCCTGTTTTTAAATGCTGGCTTTATATCAGTCAGGTGTGATGAGGCCAACAGATCAGGAGATAACCGCCATTGATGGAAAAGATGGTTAGTTACTCACAGTTCCTAACAGAAGTGGGACACACCACACCACTCAGGGCCACATGGGGAAATGCCAGGGTTGATTGGGAGGCAGAGGGAGTGGAAGAATGTGGGCAAGAGTCTTTACTGTGGTTTCTTGAAGAAGGAATGGGCAAGGCAGCACAGGCAGGCTTAGGATTGGGGGTGTTTGAATAATTTCTGCTGAATCTGATGCATGGAGGCTGTCCCAGGTCGTCTAGTACCTGGCCCTGGGGTGACGAAGGTGGGTGGATAGTGGCCTAGAGTGCCAGAGCCCATTGAGAGTCTGATAAGGGAGATGGTTGGGTGTGGGCCCTGGGTTTGTTGGTTTGCATATGCACAGGCAAGTCGTTTAGGATCTCTGGGAACTGGCGAGCCCTTGGATGGGCACTGTCTACAGGGTCAACAAAGCCTATGTCAAAGCATCAGAAACACGTGGTTCATACACGGCCCTTGCCCCATTGCAAAACTCTCCAGTCAGATGATGAGCTGAGTGCCCAGCAGACGGGCCACTGTGGAGCCCTAGCACTGGCCGACAACGGGGAGGTTCTTGGTAAATGTTGGGTAGATGAGGGTCCACTGTAGACCAGGCATGATGCCAAGCACTTGGGGACACAGCAGTGGACAGGCAGAACTAGATCCCTATTCCTGTGGTGTTTACTTCCAGTGGGCACATCAGACAGCAAAGCAGCAGACAAATACATACAAGAGAGAACATCACTACCAGGAAGTGCTGTGAAAGCAAAAAACCAAACATATAACAAAGACGTCATAGGACCAGGGTGGGATGGAGGGGCGGGACAATGATAGAAAGGGTGGTCAGGGCAGCCTCTCTGAGTATGTGACAAACAGGCCAAGACTGACATACGGAGACGTTTCAGCCATGTGAAGATTCCAGGGCAGAGTATTCTGGTAGATTAATACATCAAATGAACAAATGAATGAGTGAACACATTCGTCCTTCAGTCTGGATTTCCCACTTCTTTACTGCTGACTTTAGTGTGTTTTGAGGCTTAAAGGATATCAGTGCAAGAGTTCCACGTATTAGAATCATTTCCATCACGGTGTCTCCTCATTGACGGGAACATTCCCCACGATGACTTGGGCCCTGTGAGCAGGCAAGTGTGGGCCTCAGGGAAAGAGGCCATTCTAACCATCTTTGATCAGTGACCACTCCTCCCACTGGTACTGGAGCCAGCGATCTTCTTGCCAAACTTGTCCCTTATGAGAATCAAAGGAGTTAATTTATTGCCCCAATAATAGTGCCTCTTGCAACGGGAGGATGAAGGGGATTCTTGCTCAATACGTGAGGTGCTGCCGGGACATTAGCCACTCAGGCCAAGCCCAGGCTGCAGATGCTGCAGAAAGAGCCCCAGTTGCAGACGCCCTGGGCTGCCCAGACCCTCCAGGAGGCTCCTTTGACCACCAGGGCTGGGAGTCGAGGTGGAGGGAACAGCAGCAACCAGTCCCTTTGGGGATCTTTGTAAATCCCCAGAGTTTCTTGGGACAGCCGGGTTGCCTAGCTGAGCTACCAGGACCCACTTTTCCAGGCTCTTTGGAGTGTGCAAATGTGATTGTCAAGTGAAAGTCAAAGAAAAGAAGCAGAGTGATGAAGCCGTCAGTCGGCAGGCAGAATATAAATAGTCTCAACAGGCCCCCTCTCCAGCGCTGGGTGCTGGCAATGACATCCTGAGATGTTCATCATGCTGGCTTCAAGGGTTGTTTCAGCGGCTGCCTGGGTTTTCCACAGGCTGTGGGCCTCCCCACACTGCATCAATCTCAGCCACGTGGTTATTTCCTCCCCACTGGGAAGGCCCTGACTGCCTCTTTGGGTTCTGGAGGGGAACCTAGAACTGCCAGAGTCACAGAGCATTAGGGGAGCGTGGGAAGGGCAGAGAAGAAAGCAACTTCCCTTCCCCAAGTTTGTAAGTAGTGGACTTGAACCCAAGTATTTCTTGCTTTTAACCACCATGGTATGTTGCTATTGCCACCTTCTTTACATTCATTTACTTATTGCTTCATTTTTAAGATATTTCTTGAGCCCCACAGGGAGTGGAAATAGCACAGATTTCAAATCCCAGACAGCTCCTCTGCTTCCTAGCTAAGTCAGCTCCTCTGCTTCCTAGCTAAGCATATCAGAGCAAATTCCTTTGCTTTAGTTTCTGCATAAATGAAAAAGGATTACACTTACGCCTTGCAAGTCTTCTCTTAGGCTTGGCATGAATACATATGGATATCCTTGTACACAACAGGCCCTCACCCCCGTCCAGCCCTGGCCTGGGGATTGCAGAGAGCCAGATGTGGATGCCACAAAGTCCTGCCTTTCATACGTTCAAAGACCGGTGAGGAAAGACATGCTGGACCAGCCTGCTTCTCCTCCAAGGCAACATGGAGTAGGTGCTACACAGAAGCATAACTTCAGCTGTGACCAATTATACCGGTGAGGTGAAGGAGTTTTATTGGAAGATGGGCCCTTGAGCCCCCCTGGAGGGCTGTAAGAAGGTACAGCAAGTGGAGAGGACAGCAATAGCAAAGGCTGGAGACTGATACAGTTTGGATCTGTGTCCCCGCACGGATCTCACGTTGAATTGTAATCCCCAGTGTTGGCAGTGGGGCCTGGTAAGAGGTGATCGAATCATGGGGCAGTTTCTTATAAATGGTTTAGCACTGTTCCTTTGGTGCCGTTCTCATGATAGTGAGTGAGTTCTCATGAGATCTGGTTATTAAAAGTGTGTAGCACCTCCCCACTCTCTCTCGCTCCACTGGCCCTGTGAAGTGTTGCTCCTGCTTCGTCGTCCACCATGACTGGAAGCTTCCTGAGGCCTCCCCAGAAGGAAAAACCACTATGCTTCCTGTACAGCCTGCAGAACATGAGCTGATGAAACCTTTTCTTTATAAGTTACCCAGTCTTGGGTATTTTTTTATAACAGTGGAAGAATGGACTAATGCAGAGACATAATGGCTCTTTGGGGACAGGGAGTAGATCAATGTCACTTGAGCAAAAAGACCAAAGGAAGGATTGCCAGTGTCTGGTAAGGTGGGGTTAAGACCAGACCCTGATTGACTTTTGTTGTTACACTGAAGAATTTAGCTGCATTGTCTAGGCATAGGGGAGCCATTCATAGTTCTTGAAGAAGGCTGTGGCATAATCTATCTGGGGTTTCAGGAAGAGCATTCCGGGGCAGCGTGGAGGATGAATTTGAGGGGCTGAGAACAGGGCAGAGACCAGCTCAGAAGTTCTGCAGAGCAGCCAAGAAATAAAGGGTACATAAATCTGGATAAAAATTAAATAAACGTATTGAGCACTTACTGTGTGTCAAGCACTTTGCATCTCTGCATTAGGTGCCCTTGTTCCCATTTTGCAGGTGAGGAGACTGAGGTGAAAAGTGGTTAAATAACTTGCTCAAGGTCACAGAACCAGTGAATCCAAATAGGATTCAGATCCTGGACTGTCTGAATCCAAAGCCCTGAAATTTCCCAGCCCCTGATGTATACAGGCAAAGAGAGCCCAGAAGGGGTGCTAGGAGCAAGAGAAGGCTCAGTAAGCTTAAGAGATCTGGATGGCATCTTCCTTCCTCAGTGCCCCAAGCTGGGCATCTTCGCTTTGCCCCCTCTAGAACCATATTCTGCCCCTCTCCCCCCTGCTCTGAATCCTGGGAGGCTGACTGTATGGGCTGCAACCAGTCTCTCGTGTTCTTGGCCATTAGCTTCTGGTTGGGTTGCACCCACGGGACTGGAAAGCAGACGGAGGGAAGGGAGGAAGCCGGGGTACTTGTTCCCCACTCTGTCACTACCTCAGGGGGGCTATGTCACTCTACTGAAGACACAGCTGCTCCAGAACATCCCTCTCTATCTAGCTCTGTAAGTTCTGGCAGGTGCTGGCAATGGCTCTCTTCTCTTTCACTTTGAAGCCTGGGATAGTGACAGCACCCTGTGTTTTTCTATGGGACTGTCCCTGAGTCTGGAGCTGAGAGAGGGCAATTTGCAGCAGGTGCCAGCTTATGCCACAGCTACCTACAGTCACCGGGGTGGATGAGCTTGCCCAGAGAGCATGGTGAAAATGGGACACAGAGGCTGGGCCATTTACATGGGTCTGACATGTAAGAGCCACCAGTGGGTGGGGGGCCAAAAAGGGACTGAGGATGGATGGGGTTGAAGCCTCCGTTTCTCATATCCCCACCTGGAAATCATTACCCACTGACTTCTCCCTCTTTGTCAACAGGTGAGTGGAGGACAGTGAGATGAGGTTTGCCGGTCTCCGAAGACAGCATTCAGCTCTCTCGGGAGGTGAACTCACCAGCACTTCTGTGTTCTACCTCCTGCCTCCTGGGGGTTCTGCTGCTGTGAATACAGTCCTGGCTTTGTGCTCTCTGGAGGAATAGGAGGGCATGTGGAGCTGCCTCAAGGGTTATCAGGAGAGCCTTATCTGGGAACTGGGTGACCCTCTTTTGGAAAAGCCTCTTCCATCCCCAGGGACCTACCTGGTTGGCTGAGATCTCAGAGCCAGCCCCTGGAAGAGGTGCTGTTTATAAAACAGGGATCCCCAACTGCCCCTGTCTGTGGCTTGGCTTGTCTAGCCCCAGCAGCCAGCTAGCTGCAGAGAGGACACACCTCAGCAGCAGGGGAGAGAGGGGTGATGGTTCCAGTTGCGCATGTTTATAATTAAAGAAGGAAATGGCCAGGTACAGTGGCTCACACCTGTAATCCCAGCACTTTGAGAGGCCAAGGAGGGTGGATCACAAGGTCAGGAATTCGAGACCAGCTTGGCCAACATGGTGAAACCCCGTCTCTACTAAAAATACAAAAATTAGCCAGGCGTGGTGGCAGGCTCCTGTAATCCCAGCTACTCAGGAGGCTGAGACAGGAGAATTGCTTGAACCTGGGAGGCAGAGGTTGCAGTGAACTGAGAACATGCCACTACACTCCAGCCTGGGTGACAGAGCAAGACTCCATCTTTAAAAAAAAAATTAAAGAAGGGGAAGAAAGGAAGAGGCTGGGAATTTGAATTGTATCTTGATACTGCAAACTTGAACAAAGGTAGATCCATTGACAGCCATGAACTTGAGAGCTAGAAAACACCCTGCAGAACCCCCACCCCTCATTTCACAGATGGGTAAACTGAGGCCTGGGGAGGGGGAGTTACTCTCAGCCTCACAAACCATCCTGGCACAGCACACAGCACTGCCACCTGCCCTTACCACAGCCCTTACCTGAGAAAAGAATGATTATTTCATACCAATTACTGTCCGTGTGCCTGAAGCTTGTCCTGATCCAGATTTTACCCACCCTTGTCCTCACCATGGAAGCAGCTGGCTGCCCCACGGTGGAGGCTGCCTGAGTGCTAGACAACTGTTTTTTCACAGGGAGGAAATTAGATCTGCTTCTCCAGGAAAGGCGTTTGTGAGCAAAAGTGCCAGCCAGTTGGGTGCTGCACAGGGCTCTGTGTGGTCCACAGACTCCAGCCAGGCAGGAGAAAGCAAGGAGGAAGGGGCCTGGGGCTGTCAGGGCCATTAGAAGGGGCCCTGGAGAATGTGCAGCTGGGTGAATGGGGGTGCCGAGAGGAAGGGGCTTGCCCAGGGCCACACAGTAAAACAATACCCCATCCTTTTACCTCTCTGTAGCCCCTTTTCCCAGCACAGACTACCCCTTCACTCAGCATTTGAACCTCCTGGGGAAAAGGGTGCCTGAGCCAGCAGTGGCCAAAATGAGCCTGTCCTTACTTGTAAATTCAGTTTGGGGTTTTCCAGCCATGCTAGATTGGATGATGGTTCAGCAAATATTTACTCCCCACCTCTTCCCACTCTGGTCAAGGCACGCTCCCTGCACTGTTGAAGTTGGGCTTGGCCAAGTGCATTGCTTTGAGTGAGAAATATTAGCTGACATGACGGGGCAGAGGATTGAAATGTGTTGGTGCACATGGACCCGCTGCTCCCTTGTGCTCTGGTGATAACAGCCAGAGGTACCTTTATAGGGCTGCTGCCCTTCCGCTGGGTGGTACAATGAACTTACACAGCGTGAGCCCAACCTGCAGCCTGCAGCAGAGCTGCCCGGCTGAGCCCAGCTGAGACTAAGAGAACCTGGATCAACCTTCAGGCCCACCGATGGGAAAATAAGTGCTTGTTGATATAAGCTACTGAGATTTTGGGTGGCTTGGTTCTCATTTTTGTGGCAATAGCTGACTGAGAGATCCAAAGCTGGAACCAAGGAAGGGGCCAAGAGCTGGGGTTGGGAAGAAGCAGGATCTCCATGGCCTTCCCACTGCCACAGCCCTGCAAGGGAGGAATGGATGGAGAAGATGCTGTGGATGTTCTCAGTTAACCTTGAAGAGGCCACACGAGTGTGGGAGGGTGCAGTGCCTCACTGCATGTCTGCGAGGGAGTTATCATCTCCATGTGAGGACTGAGGCTCTCCAAGGTTGCTGAGCTAGAAGGTGGCAAAGCTGAGACTAGAACTGGGTCTCTTGGCTCCAGTTTCCAATCTGCCAGGCAGCCCAACCCTGAGCCAGTTGAACAAGAGACCCATGAGGATTGAAACCATGGCCTGGCCCAGCCACAGGACCAACGCACGGTGCTGTGGAGGCATCAGAGTTGCCTCTGCTCCCAAGGAGCTTCCGCCCAGCTAAGAAGATGAGGTTCACACTGGGAATCTGCAGGATCCCAGGCGATGCTCCCTGTGTCAACCTGGAATAAAACTTACACTCGCCCCTACTCAGGGCAAAAAGCCTGGCTGGGCTGGCTGGATCATCTTGGGTCATGGGGCCGGGTCTGTGACATCCCCTCTCCCTGGCAGTCAATGTCAGGCAGTGTTCCAGGCACGGGCTCTGGAGGCTGACAACATTCAGCAACCCACGCTGCTCCTTTTTGGCTATGTGACCTTGATCAGGTGCTGTATGTCTCCGGGCCCCAATTCCAACATCGGCTCAGCTCAAGGGGGCTCACTGCCCCGGTTCACTGCAGGAGACAATGTGAGATGCATGGAGCACAGAACAAAGACCCTGGCACAAAACTGGCTCCCGATACCTGGCAGCAGCTGCTGTTTTACTATGATGAGGTTGCTCAGGATGGCTTTAAGCACAGGTCTCAGTCTGCAGCAGCCAGGATCTGTGTCCCCTGGGAAATGGCCGGCTCTTCCAGTATCCATGCTGGGAAGGGAAATAGGTCAGAAGAGTTTTCCTATCACAGTAGAGAGCTGCCCTTCACTTTGTGTCCCCAGGTGAGAGCTTTCAGGGTCCCAGGAAAACAGGGCCCAACTGGCTTCTACTAAAACACCAGGGTGGGCAGTTTACAGATAGGCCTTTGAGCTGTCACTTGGTGGTTCATTGCCAGGGTTCATGGTCCGAGTAAGATCAGGCCTCAGTGAGGCCAGATATAGCCTGGGGAAGTGCAGGTTGAGTGGCTGGGGGTGGGGTGCCCTGCTGGGGCCTGGAGAATTTTCCCAGCTCTACCCTCAGCTCCCTGCAAGGCACATATACTTTCTCCTTGAGGATAATTCTCCAAGAGAACTTCCCTTGGGAACAGATCTTTGGAGAGGATGGTAGCCTCTGAAGAAGGTGCCTCATCGCCTGAGTCTTCCTCATCTCCCTCCCTTTGAGACTCCATTAGGGAGTTTACTCTGCTCTGTTGACTCTGCTCTTCCACTTTCACTGCACACTGGGTCTTTCATTCAGTAAGTCATTCTGAAGATATTTATTGAGCCTCTACTGTATGCCAGGCTCTGTGCTGGGCCCTAGGGAGTCAGTAAAGAAGACTTCAAGGTTGCCTGCCCTTATGGAGTTTACCGTCCTAGGAACAGGCAGGTTTGCTTGAGCCATCACCTACACTCTTTCCTTGTTACTCTGTAGTCTAGAGCAGGCAAAGCTGAGGCGTCTTGTCAATGTTAAGGTCATAAGGAGTGACTGGGGGCCTGAAGGTCTGGCCACCCTTGTGCAGTCCTGATTAGGGAAGCAGAGTTAGGGTGGCAAAACCAGAGAAAAGTAAAAAGAAAAAGAAAATCAGCTACAGATCTGCCTTTCTTCACAGTCCAGCACACATAGCCCTCCTGCACAAGTAACTCACTGTCTTCCCGTACCCAACTTACCACCAGACCCTTGGCTGATTAAAAAATGCAAGTTAGCTCACTGCATTGTCAACATTACAAGTGACCTTCTCCAGCACAAGCACAGACCTGGGAAATCCCCAGCAAGCCTTTGTCTCCTTGCAGTCGGCTCCTCTCCTGCTCATCTACACGTTGCTCTCTTACAACATCTTTTCATATCGCCTTTCTCCACCTACCACTGTCTCGGTAAATTCCTTTACCACCCATGTCGCCAGCCCTTATAGTCACTACCTATGACAGTCATCAGTCTACTGTGCAACCTTGCATAAGTCACTCCCCTTTTCTGGGCCTGGATTTCTTCCTTTCTGAAGAGAGCGATACTGGATCAGATGACCCCTGAGGCCTCTCTTCTTTGGTGAGTCCTGGAATTGGCTGTCACACATGGGTTCACTCCCAGGACATGATTATTCATTCAGCAGATCCTTGCAGAGGTCACTCTGGCCATGAACCATGTCAGGGACCCACCATGACCAGGCCTGGCCTTCCTTTCTCCAAGGAGACCCTGATTTAGATTTTTTTTTAAATAAAAACAAACTCATTTGGGATATCAGCTAATAGGCCAAACAATTTTTTGCCTGCTTCATAATTCTCCTTCCTGAACAATATTGAGAGATCACCACTTTGGTTTCTGCTGTTATCTCCTGGGAAAAGAGGACACAGATCTTAGCAAAACAGGCTTCATCGTCACCGTGTGTCTATTTCGCTCCCAAGAGATAAGATAATCATCATTAATTACATGGTGAATAGTTGGGGATGATTGTTGGCTTCAAGCCCATACAGGAAAGCAGCACCTCTTCCACTCAGGCTCTCACATTCTGGAGAGGAGAGGCAGCTGGTGAAGCAAGGTGGCTTTGAAGCCAAGCCACCCACCCCGCTTCAAAGTCTGTTTGGGCAAGTTTCTGCACCTCTCTATGCCTCAGTTTGCTCATCTGTAAATTGGGAATGATGAGAATAGTCCCTGCCTATCTCAGAGGGTGATCGTGAGGATTAAATGAGCTATTGTTAAGTGCCTGAGTCCAACCAATGCCCCAGCAGTATTTTCTGAATATACACTAAGTAGGCAAGCCTCCAAGTCGTGACTTAGGAATCACAAGGCAACGGACTCAGGAAACCCAATGTCATTGATCTTATGACCCATGCTAATCAGGTGAGCTGAAAACAGCTAATTTCAACATGTAGAGAACTTACTCTAAATCAGACACTCTTCCAAATGTTTTGTGGGTATATATGTGCACTTACCAAGTTAATGTGGGTATATATGTACATGTACCAAGTCAATCTTCACAAAATCCTAGAAGATACATAAACACTCCTTTACCACTCTCATTTTACAGATGGAAAACGGAAGCACAAAGAGGGTGCAGTGCTGGTTGTGGGCATCAGACTTCAGTGCTACAGCTGTGCAGAGAGCAGAGCTGCAGGGTCTTGAGTCCCAGCTTTGTTAGCTCTGAGCAGCTGTATGGCGTAGGGTAAGGCATTAACGTCTCTGTTTCTCCATAATTGTGAAGTGGGGGAAAGAGCACCTAGCCCACAAGGCCTGAAATACTGTGGGTGGCATGCCCAGCATGGTTGGCACATGATGGGGCTCGAGAAGGGGAAAAGTTATTTTAAAAAGGAAAAAGGGGGATGGAGCAGATGTCCTAAACCTACCACAGCCCCACAGAAGCCAGGACCTGGAGCTTCTTTCAACTGCACTGAAAGTAATTGGAATGGGGGCCCTCTCCCTTCCCACCCCCACTCAGAGCCTCACAGAACAGTCCTAGGAGTAAGGATGGAGGAGGCAGACCTGAGAATCCGCCCACCCTGGCTTCCACTTCTGCTCTTCTACTGAACAAGCTACAGGTCCTCGGGTAATCACTCCCATCTGTAGCCTCACTTTTCTCATCTCATCAAGAGAACAGCAACTGCCACTTCACAGGTGTGGTGAGGAACAGGTGAGACCATTTAGCTCACATTTATGAAGCCCTTGCCAAGTGCCAGCCACCCTTCTCTACATGTCACGTGCATCTAATCCTCCCAACATCCCTGTGGAGTAGGTACTGTCATTCTCCCCTTTCACAGAAGCAGAAACTGAGGCTCACTGAGATCAAGGGAGCAGGATGAGGTCACGCAGCATCTGAGGGGTAGATAGGCACCATCAGCGCAGGCAGGGCCACACAGCCCATGGCTCATGGCCAGAGTCAATTGCTCCTAGAGGTCCCTCTCCAGCTCCCTGGATTTGAAAGCAGGAAAACATGGGCTGTGCCCTGATTTATGCTTCAAGCTGAGATGTCCCTGGTAATCTGTCACATGTCCCTAACTAGGTGTGGGGCTCCAGAGCAGCCGACGCCATTCCCGCCTCTTCCTACATTGCAGTCATCCCAGGCTGCAGGCGTCACATAGGGAGGGGCAGCCAGGCCTTCCCGCCTCCTGCCTCAGCTTCCTTCCCAGCCTGCAGGTGAACGTGATTTCCCCATGGCCAATTCCTCTTCCCCAGAGCGCCTTCTTTCTGTTCCAGTTTTGTGTCTCCTCGAGCTCAGGACAAATTGCTGTCTCTGCTCTGCTAGCAGGCGGAAGCAGAAACACGCTGCTGCAGGAAACTCTTTTGCCCCCAACTGGCCCCTTGTTCACATTCCTGTGGCTTCCGAGGAGGTCTGGCCCAGCCTCCCTGAAGTCATCTATCATGGCTGGTCAGGCTGGAGGGGCTGCTAGAATCAGCTTCTCCCACCTCGTCCTTTTCACAGACCCGGAAATGGAGGTGCAGACAGGGGCATAGCTCTGCTCAAATACACAGGAGTAGGACAGCTATCAGGGAAGAGCCCTGTGACTTGCAGAGTTTGGCTTCCATCCAATACCCCATCCAGTCCTGCAAGGTAGGTGTTATGGTTCCATTTTACAGATGAGGAAACAGCCACAGAGAGGTTACGCTGCTAACTTGAGGTCACATCGAAAACTGTGGTCAAGGGCTTTAAGCCAAGGCAGTCTTGACTACTAAGTCAATGTTCTTTTCTTCTTCTCACACGATTAGTAACTATATATTGAGGTTGGGGCCCAGATAAGGCCCACCCACCAAAATGGCTGGATTCTACCCAGGCTGGAGTGCAGTAGCGTGATCTCAGCTCAGTGCAACCTCCACCTCCCGGGTTCAAATGATTCCCCTGCCTCAGCCTCCCGAGTAGTTGAGATTACAGGTACACACCACCAACCCGGCTACTTTTTGTGTTTTCAGTAGAGACAGGGTTTCACCATGTTGGCCAGGCTGGTCTCGAACTCCTGACCTCAGATGATCCACCTGCCTTGGCCTCCCAAAATGCTGGGATTACAGGCATGAGCCACTGTGCCCGGCAGGATTTTCTTTTTAACCCCCCAATCTGGGCTTCCTCACCCAGGCTCCATCCTTCACCTTGCCTTTTTCCAGTAAGGGTCTGTGACCATTTCAAGCTGGCAATGATGCTAAGAAAGAAGCACCCTCCAGTGAGCCCAAACCTCCTCCTCATTTTCTCCCTTTCCCCAGTTATCCCTGGGGAAACGGGTGCCACACTGGTCCCTCTACCGCCTTGCTGTGTCTCTGACCCAAGAGGCTGCCACCCCTGTTCCCACATGTCAGAACCCTGCCCATCTGCAGGCAGATACAGGTTCGAATTCCTCCACACTCTCTATGGGCTGTGTGACCTTGAGCAAATGACCCATGCTGACTCCTTTGCAAATAGAGTGATAATCCAGTTTTGGAGGGATATTTGGAGGACGAGATGAGCTCTTATAGGTCCAACAGTCTAATGCCTGCACTGCAGGGGACCCCAGGGATGAAAGCTGCTGTGTTATGGTGGTTTGGGTGACATAGGTGGAGCAGGGATGTGATTGCTGATAAGACAGGGGGTAGCAGGAGGCCAGAGCCATGCAGAATCAGGAAGGTGTGGCTTAGATGCTAGCGAGAGGCTCCTGTGGTGACCAGGATCATGTTTAAGTGACACCAAACAGCAGGACATTCCAGCCAGCAGTAGGAGTCCCGAGGAAGCGGCCAGTGCTGCTCTGGGTGTATGGGGCCCATGGCAGGCAGGCAGTGGCACCACACTGGGCCTGGTCATCCAGCCCAGTTCAAGGAAAAGACTCAAAAGAGCCCCCTGAGGAGCATATCTGTATTCTTACTTTATAGATGAAGAAAGCAAGACACAGAAAGGGTAACTAACTTTCCCAAGATCACCCAGAGTTGGTAGCCAAGCCAGGATTAGAACCTATGCAGCCTGGCTCCAAATTCTGACCTGTTAACCAAATATTCTCTATGCCAGCTCACCATGGGTTTGAACTGAAAAGCCGCCACATCGTAACTGGCCCTGCCTTGAACCCCAGCAGAGCCAGAATGTGGACAGATTCCCAAGGGAGGCAGGAAAGCTAGGCCGAGTGTCAAACCAGGCTTCCTTCACCCCAGGCGGACGAATTCTTCCTCCCTCTTCCTTTACCCCAGAGCTACCAGAAAAAAAGCTCGGGCTCCAAAGACAGCTTTTATCAGTTAAAAATTAAATGAGAAGAAACCATTAAATGTGAGCAGGAGGGTGGCCTTGAACTTGTGGAGGCGGCGCTGGCTGCCCGCCCAAGCTGCCTCCACGCGGAAGCTCCCTTATTAAAAAATCAACTGTGGTGTGGTGGGCCTTGGGTGGTCTCTAAAGGGATTTGGGGCCAAATCAGCACCATCAGCCAGGAATGTGCTGCAGGAGGTCCCAGAGCCTTCCCAAGATGGTGACCCTGGACACAGTGACTTTCACTGGCTGGCAGGAGCAGCCCTGCCATAGAAGGGAAAAAGAGGGCATAGGAATCAAAAGGCCTCCCAGGCCCCGGAGACATCTTCTTGAGGGCTGGCCGGATGCCTTCACCTCCCACTCTTTGCACAACAGACCACACAGCCTTCCTCTCCCCCCACGTTGGTCTTGGTAATTCTGCTCACTTAGCCATCCCCACAAAAGACCTCGGGGCTGCCCACGCCTCCTTCTAGGGTGGCTCCCAAGCCCCTTCCTCTCTGAATTACTCACTAAGCCCCCAGCTCCAGGCTCCCTTCTCAAGAGGAACAACCCTGCTGCCTCCAAAATGGGCCTGAGGACCCATGGTGAGAAAATTCCATGGGGGTGGCTTCCTCACTACGATGTGGCATCACCCAGGTCCCTTCCCCTCTCCGGCCCTGCGCACATTGTCTGACTCACATTCCACAGGATAGGAATTATGCCCCTGGCAGTTGTGCAAGATAGTGGTCCTGCCTCCTGAGAGTTAGAGGCCTGAGTTGTCCACAAGAGCATGGGAAGAATGGAGGGGTTAACAGGAGGGGTTAACAGGATGGTTCCAGGTGTCACCGGACACACATAGGCAGCCCTTGGATGAAGGCCTTTCACTCTCTTGGGCTGGGGCAGGACATGGGGTGGACCACCTCCCCTTCTTCCCCACACCAGGCCATGGGGCCCATGAGTCCTGGGCTCTGTCCAGGGAACCAAGAAGTTCTGCATCCTGGTGAATCTTTCCCTGTCTGCCTGCATGGCTGCCTGGCTGGACCAAGCCCCTCAAGTGGCAAGCATGAATCCCTCAGAGGCAGTGCCAGGGATGCCTGGGGAGGATTTTGCTTCAGGGCTGGGGCCCATCTCGACTTTAGCCCTTATAGGCCTTGTAGCCTAAGTCAAAGTGCTTGGACTTCTGGCCCCAATTTGTCCATCTATAAATGGGGGTGGCAGCTGCTATGGAAAGCAGTATGGAGGTTCTTCAAATCATAAAAGTAGAACTACCATATGATCCCATAATCCCTTATTTGGGTATATATCCAGAAGAACTGAAACCAGGATCTCTAAGATACCTGCATCCTATATGCACAGCAGCGCTCTCCACGGTAGACAAGATACTGAAACAGCCTCAATGCCTGATGACAGAGAAATGGATAAAGATAAGATAGAGTGATGGTGCCAAGTGTGGGTGGCTCATGCCTGTAAATCCCAGCACTTTTGGAGGCCGAGGAGGATGGATCACTTGAGGTCAGGAGTTCGAGAGCAGCCTAGCCAACGTGGTGAAACCCCGTCTCTCTAAAAATACAAAAATTAGCCAGGCTTGGTGTCAGGAACCCGTAATCCCAGCTACTCGGGAGGCTGAGGCAGGAGAATCACTTGAACCTGGGAGGCAGAGGTTGCAGTGAGCCGAGATCACGCCACTGCACTCCAGCCTAGGCAACAGGGTGAGACTCCATCTCAAAAAAAAAAGAAAAGATAATGTGATATATATACATATAACAACAGAATATTATTCAGCCCTAAAAAAGGAGGGAATCCTGCCACATACAACAACATGGGTGAGCCCAGGGAACATTATGTTTAGTGAAATCAGCCAGTCCCAGAAGGACAAATACTGCAGGTTCCACTTGTGTGAAGGGTCTGGAGTAGTTAGACTCATGGAGGCAGTAGAATGATGGTGGCCAGGAGCTGGGAGAGGAACAAACAGGGAGTTATTCAACATGTAACTTGAGTGTCAGTGGCGCAAGATGACCCAGTCCTAAAGATCTGTGCTCTAGTGCCTGGAGTAAATGGCACCGTAGGGTGCCAAAAATGGGTTCAGAAGGTAGACCTCACGTGAAGTGCTCTCACCACAAAAACAAACCGAAAGCAAGGGGCACAAGGGTACATCTGGACGTGACAGATACGTGTGTTACCTTGATCGTGGTGATTTCTGGCGTGTCTGCCTATGTCTAAACTCATCAGATGGTGTACATGAACTGTGTGCTGTTTACTGGCATATCAATTATCCCTGGATAAAGCTGGAAAAAAACAAAAAGAGGAGGGGAGGGTGAGACTGACTAGAAATTGTGGGGAGGAAAGAGCTCGGTGCTGGCAGGAAGAACAGAAGCTGCATGTAACAGGCACCTTCCTAGCACCACCCCTTCTAAGCACCACGTGGGCATGATCCCGTTTCTCATTTCATTGTCACACACACCTGTACTGGGGAAATGATTTTCTCCCCTCCACACGTACCTCTGACTCTTGCATCTCGCTGATCAATGCTGATGGGCTCTGGCTTTTCCCAGACACAGCGCCTGCCAATGTGGAGCAAGAGTTGAACTAACGCGGCTTCCACCTCTCCACCCGCCCCTTGCCGGCCACCAACAGTGTCCCTCTGTGGAGCAGCCTAACACTCTAGGAGCAGGAAGGCATGAGCAGTGGGGTCTGTCGCCCCCAGGGAAGCAAGCCTCTTTGTGCAGGAGAGGAAGAGGACAATCCATGCCCGTGGCCTCTCCACCTCATTCTGTGCCTCACCCCCCACCCACCCACCACCCATCCCTTCAAAGGAAGCCCTGTCTGCTCTGTCTGCCCTCCTTTTGGCCCCTCTCTCCCCTCTCCCGTGGAGGATTTATGGTTTTAATAATGCTGTCTTTCTCCATCCGCCTCCCTTGCTGTTTAGTCCCCTCTAAAGATCCTTAAAATTAAAACACTAATCAGGAATTTATTTTCTCATCAATTGTGCCCTTCAGGTTATGAGGCCCGGGTGTTTTCACAGCCTGCTGGCTGGCCATGGGGAGGGCCCTGCAGAGGGGAGATGGGTGCTGGGGTGGGAGGGTTCTGGCTCCAGTCTCTTGGAAGAGAACGGAGAGGAGAGGGAGAGAGACTATAAGAGACAGAGACAGTCAGACCTGAGGTCAGAGAGAAACAGCAACAAGTGGAGACAGTGTCAGCAGTAACTGAGGGAGACAGAGAGAGCTCAGCCTGCTCTGGGGGTCAGGAGAGAGAGAAGGAGGGCTGGGGACAGAGATCAAGGCAGTGAGGCACACAGATGGCAGGAGGTGCAGCCAAAGAGGATAGAAACCAGAGAGATGCAGAGACGGAGTGGAGGAAAGGGGCAGGGAGTAAAGAGAAATAACAGAGCAGTGGCTGGGAAGCTGGGGGCAGGAGAGGCCAGGAAGACCCAGCAGGCCAAGCACACACACACTGGGGTATGGACAAACTCACCCCTCTCCTCAGAGGGGCCTGCACTCCTGCAAGTTGACATATTTAGAGGGGATCGTGTGGCACATCTGCCTCCTCATCCCAAATCACAAGCTCCATGAGTGTAGGGCCTCTAGGTTTTCCCCTTTTGCATCTGCAACAATGAACTGGGCAGGCTGATTTCTGACCCTGGACTCCTCATTTTAGCTCTGAGATCCTGCAAGGTACCTAGTGAAGCCCCTGGGAGGCCTTCTCTTTCCCCTCCCTCTAAGCCAGGGAAAAGCTTGTTGGATCCTAGGCCTGCCTCCCCCGCCACTCCCCACCTCCTTTCAATACTGGCAGCTCTGAGAAGGCATCATCATCTCCTTCCACCAGCCTCCTGCCCACCCAGAGGAGCTGTTTGCAAAGTGCACTTCTCCTGACCCAGCATTTCTGTTCTCTACATGGGAAACCTCTGAGATTCATTAGGTCACTCTGAGCACTGAGTGAAGAGTCTAAGCCTGTGTGATCATGGGCAGGTCACTGGCCCTTCATCCCCTTCATGAGTAGAATGAGGGACTGGGTTTCACTCTGACAGTCCCTTCTGGCCTCGATCATCTAACAGTCTTTGACCTGATCACTTCAGAAGTCCCAACTAAATCGAGAAGTGGAAATATCTATCCTCATTCATGTATTCATCTGACAAAAGCTATAAAGAACTGCTAATATGGAAGATGCCAGGCCAGGCACAGGAGAAGTCACCCTGAGGAGCCTGACCTGACCTTAGTTCACCATCAAGTCACAACCTCCATTTCCTCCTCTGTAAAATGGGAGGGTGTGGTGTTCAGGGCATTACGGATCAGGGCTTTGTGAACAGAAGTCAGGTATCAGAAGGGGTTGTCTAGCATCAGAAGTGTGCAGAAACCTCATTAGAATAACTCATGCTGGCAGCTCCGAGGTCTCCCAGGACCTGTACGGGTTTTCAGTCCAGCTCAGGTTCTGCTGGTGCGAGGTCAGGCCTTAATCTCATGAATATTCCCATCCTGGAAGGGAAGTTTGAGTCTCAGCTCCAGCACTTGCAGGGTCAATAGCCCTGAGTAAGTCACTTCCCCTTGGTGGCTTCAGTGTCTTTCAAAGGAGGATAAATAATCCTGTCTCAGTTGAAGGGAAATGTAAGGCTTAAACTGAGGTCAACATACCAGGCACACAGTAGGTGTCTGAAAAATGCTTGCTCAAGGCATGATTTAAGCCAAAAGAATATGGGTAGGTAAGTGTCCCTGCGTGTCATGTTACCCACACAAGGATGTCCTGGGATTGTGGCACAGCCAACCACAGTGAGGCAGGGAGATCCAGCCTCCCCACCCAATACGGCCTTTGCTGGGCCAGCATTAGCATTGTGCAAGATGATTCAGCGTCTTGCAAAACCAGGGGGCTTAGGCGGCCCCTACTTCATGCTGAGAGGCTTGTTCCTGCCACAGCCCAGCTTGTCTACCTGATAGAAAATCAATGCGTTTATGATCCGAGGCCACTTGCACAAAAAGAGGAGGGAAGCATTGCTCTTCCCAGGTTCGAACAGCAGCATGCCCAGCCTAACTGATTTAACTCACTGGACATCTTTCTAACCCAAGATCTTTCCTCTCTTCCAGTCAGAGTATCGAAGAGCTGTAAAATCATAATCAAAGGACTTTTCATACCCCTATCCCAAGGGATGGATGGATGAGTCCTCTTGCGGGATCCCTCTCGTTGGGAGTCAGCACCTGTCAAATTATGTAAGCTGGAAAGGAATTTGGCTGTGTCCTCAAGAGGTTTTGAGTCCTGGAATAATAGAGTCATGGTCTCTAACTTAGACTCGGATGACAGAGAATATATGGCTTATGGGAAAGGTAGATTTTGTTGAAAGGGACAAAATAATTGCACTATAATTATGTCTCATTTATGCTGTAACCACAGACCTACAGTTGCACATGGTGCTGCTGGTGGTGTGCTCCAGGATTCAGAGGCAAATTCAATACTGTAGAAGCTAATAGAATTTATGACAATGCTGATACTTATGATCAAATGTATTGGGAGAGTGAATCAAAACTCCTTTAGAATGTTCTACCTGTGAAGGAGAATTGGCCTGAAGAAGATTTAGATTTGATTCATCATAGACTGATCGTGATTCCATCATTCAACAAATGTATACCATTAAGTGCAGAGAGCTATAGATCAAGGTGACGAAAGAACTGTGCAATTAGTACAAAAATATGAGAACGTTTGCACTGGTGTTATTGGACGGTTCAGCCGTCTGTTTAAATCAGGACCAAGATATTATACAATGCTTGGAGTCTGTGTGACCATTTTAATTACAGATGGTCTCTGACTTAGGATGGTTCAGCTTACGATTTTCTGACTCTGTGAAAGCAATACACATTCAGTGGAAACTGTACTTGAAATTTTGAAGTTCGATCTTTTGCCAGGCTGGCAATATGCGTGTGATACGTCGATGCCAGGCAGCAGCGGGAGCCATTATGTTCTTCACTTTCAGTACAGTATTTAATACATCCCATGAGCTATCCAACATTTTATTATACAATAGGCTTTGTGTGAGATGACATTATTCCACTATAGCCTACTGCAAGTGCTCTGAGCATGTTAAAGGTAGGCTAGGCTAAGCTACGAGATTGGGAAGGATAGGTGGGTTAAAAGCACTTTCAATGTAAATGCATTTTTAACTTAGGGAGGGTTTATAGGGATGTAGCTGTGTTGTGAGTTGAGGAGTATCTATACTGTTCAGGTAAGGAGATGGTTTTGTTATAAAAAGGCCTTGCCCATGGGACACGGGATGTGGATGGTGCCATGAGCTGCTTCGTTTACATAGCACTGACACGCAGGTGTTTTCCTACATAGCACTGACCCCTGGTCAGGTCAAGGAACATGCTGGATCATAGTGTTGCTCCGTAATCAGGGGTCAGAGGAGTTTGGGGGCAGCTTGGACCAGCTTGTCAGCATTGTTTCGGACAACAGTGAGATTGATGGTTTGCACTTGTTCTTCGTGAGACCCTTGAAAGGCAGTGTTTAAGCTGGTTATGTAGCAGGTACCTGCCTATGTGACCAGCAAAATACGAGCATGCCTACGCTGAGAGTCTACCCCAGTTCCAAGGTATTCCATGTGATGACAGGAGCTTGTACCTGGCCTCTCCAGCCCCCTGGCTACAAGGCATGTCCTTACCCTAACGCTGCTGCTACTTGTATTCTTTTCCTGTAATTGATCCTAGTTTTGTAAGCATGATCATTTTGGGTCCAGTGAATTTTCTTTAGTGACTGAGTCTAGCTTAACCACTACTATTAAGGTTAAACATCTATCTTCCGTGTTTTATAGGTGAGCAATGAAAACCCAGCCCAGAGCTATGATTCTATGTTTTCTTCCTTACCTTGTCCTTTGGAGGTGAGTGGCCACTTCCCAGGATGCCTAGAAGAACCAGGAAGGAGCATCAACCACTTAGGTAGGCGTCAGAGTAGCAGGAACATTAACCCAAGATGAGGTGAGTTTGGAAACCCAAAAACAGATGGTAAAACCCAAGGCTCGGTGAGAACAGATTGAGAAAGAGGCTCAGGACTGTGTCTGTGAATAGAGAATGTATCAGTCAGGGTAGGTTACGTGCTGTAACAGACAACCCCCAAACCTCAGGCACTGAGACAAGGAAAGTCTTTACTGTTCATGTCATAAGCCCAAGGCAGGTCAGTGAGAGAGGGGAGTACCACTCCACACAGTCACTCAGGGACCCAGGCTCCTTCCATCTCATGGCTCTGCTCCCCTCCAAGTGCTTTAGGCCCTCTCTATCCAGAGAAAATGTGGGGCAAGGGAGAACACTGATGTTCCAGCAGGCCAACCCAGGGGCTACCTCTGCATGAACACCCTTGGTTTGCATGTGAGTGTCAAGGGGTCAGGGAAGAGGGGGCTGACTTCCTCTTTTGCTGCTGTGTGGTGGAAAAGGGGCCTGAACCAGTCCACAGCTTTGTGCTTCTATGTCCCCAGGAGCTCTTTGGACATCTTGACTTCAACACATGAGCTTTGATATGAGCTGTCTCGAATCCCAAACATGGAGTCAACCCAGGATGGCCAGGCCCCTCTGGACCCCTCCAGTGTCTGAACCCCACATCCCAAGCTCATCTAATTACACCCTTGGAGGAGCATTTCACTGGTCTTGCAGATCCCTTGTCATCCAATTATAGCCTCGGAACAAATCAGAGTTGGTTATGAATTGTGAGTTGTTCTTCCCAGGATGGGCTGTTCTCCTGCTTCAAAACACATGTCTTCACGGAAAAGACCCTGTTGGAAGTTTATTCCAGTAGCTTAAAAGCAGCAAGAAATGGGCATTTGTATATTACTCAAGAGAGAGCCTTTGCTGGAATTTTCCACCTGGCCTGGCAATGGGACTCAGCAGGGCAGAGAGTAAAGGTTCAGAGTCAGCCTAGGAACGGTCCCTGGATGAGATACCTCAGAACACAGCATCTCTGGTATGGGAGAAGCACACGCCTTGGGGCAAGACAACTCTGGCTTCTATGTCATGTGACAATGCTGTGTGACCTTTGAGTCAAGTCAGCTCACCTCTCATCTGTAAAATGGATCTAATCACAGTACCTTTCTCAGGGATGCTGTGAGTTTTCATGACATAATACACTAAGGCACCATACCTGGCACCCAGGAAGCATCAGTAACTGGCCCCTCTCCTGCCCTCCCTCTTCCACCCTTGAACGCTTTGTGATAAGGGAAGCCCAGAGACCTTAAATTATTAGAAGGAGTCCTGCAGGAATGTGGAGCTCTGATGCCAGGAAGTGGCTAGGGTTTGGAAGCTTGATTTTGCCATGAACTCTTCCATTTCTTAACTATTTTTTCACCCAGCCTGGGAAAGCCTGGGCTTGTAAAATGCACTTATTAGTTGAAATGATCTAAATCTAATCTAATTCTCCCATGGAAACGATGTAATGATGGTCCTCACTAAAGACTTGATGCTCAACATTTTATAAAATCACCACAAACATCTTTGTTAATCATCTTTAAACAGCATACCTGTGCTTTGGGCAGCGGCAAGCTTTCAGAAGTGCTTCTAAATCAATTAAACAGGACGACATTAGTAAGCACTCACATAAAATACTGTTTAATATGAAACAGAGTACAAAAAGGTCCTCATCAAAGTTCTTGTTAATTTTTGCCTCATTTTCTCCACAGTGAGTAATAACACCTAATATTTATTGGGTGCTTACCATGTGCCAGGCACTGCTCCAAGCTCTTTACAGATGTCACGTCATTAAGCCCAGTCCAACCACACAATGAAGACTGGGGCTCCGAGAGGTGAAGGGTCCTTTCTATAGTCACACAGGTAGGAAGTGACAGAGCCAGGCTTTGCACTCAGGTGGTAACATTATAGAATGTATCAGAAGGGTCATCTTTCAGAAAGATTTCTCTGGCTAGTTATGGCAGATGACTTGAGGATATATTTGGGGACAGGGGCTCCAACTGGTTGGCTTTGAAAAATATCATTCAATCATATTCTCTTAATGCCTTTTTCTACATTTGATCATCCCCATCCTGGGTACCAAGGACATTTGAGAACTGGTCCTTTTCCTGTAGGGGAGATAGATGAATGACCCATTCCAAACCAGGAGTAAAAGCACAGTAGAAATACACCCCATGTTTTACATGGTATGAGGAGGAAATGATTGGTCTAGGGAAGTTGGAAAATCTAAGAGGAATTTTCCAGGCAAAGAGAAAAATGCACCTAGCCAGAGGTATTCACGGAAGCACAGAACTAGGTGGAATGAGTGTAGGCTCATAAGAGTTTTGGTGTGGCTGAAGCACAAAGTGTGAATTGTCAGGGGTGGGGAAGGGGTGTACCAAGAAGTTGTCCTGAAGCCCACAGAGCTTTGTAGACATTCAAAGACACTGGAACTCTGTCTTCCAGGGGAGGAATATTACCAATAACAGAAATCCAATTCAAATGATCTCGGTCCTGAAGTTTTGATTCATGTAACTAAAACCATCAATGTTTACTGCATTCAGGCATGGCTGGCTCCAGGTGCTCAAATGATATCATCCAAAATCTATCTCCCTTTATCCCTTAACTATGGTTCCTCTGGCTTAATCCTCAGGCAGGCTCTTTCAAGGGGTAGTAAAGATGAGCTCCACCAGCTCCAGGGTTACATCCAACCAACTGGGCAATTCCAGAAAAAGAAACTGCATTGCTCCTAGTAGTTCCAACTGAGGTCCCAGGGCAGATGTCACTTGGCTCCACATCTGGAGCCAAACCCCAGATGTCTTGAGACCCTGGGGTCCAGCTCTACCCCTGATGCAACTGAGTGGCCTGGGGTGAGTTCTCTACTCTGTGGGTCTCACTCTGCTCATCTGGGGACAGGTAGAGGATCTCTAAGGCTTTTTCTGGGTCTAACCTTCCAGTCTGCCCACAGCCTGCCAGCTCCAACTGCTGTCTGGAGGGGCATGATGGTGTCTGCATAAGCATCAGAAACCCAGTCACTGAAACCTCATAGCCGTCCCCAGGGAAGGTGGGTTTACCTGGCACCCTCCACACCGCCTTGCTCTTTCTCTTTGTGACCCAGTAACAGAGGATGATTGGAGGGTGGCTTGACTGGCTGGGGGAGGGGAAGCAGACATAACCAACTCCTTCCCCAAAGTCCTCAGAGAATGGGCTTCAAGACCAGCGGCTCCAGTGTCAGCCCACTGTGCTGCCAGCTGCCAGCTTGGGGGTATGCAGGTGAGACATCCTGCTCCAATGCAGGGCAATTTCATAATCACAGGAAGATGGTTTCACCAGGATGTATGACTGCTTAATCCTTAAATTGAATTTTATGTGACTTTTTCCCCTTGAATCCCTGTAGTACTTAATTCTAGAGCTAATCTCCGACCCTGACTCTAATTTATGCTCCGGGTCACAGTCGCATTTCATCAGGCAGTGGTAAGGCTGCTCACACATGACCTCGTGGTTGCAGGCAGCCATTCTCCGCCCCAATAGGCATGTCCTTCCTGGAGGCCACTCTGTTCCTGGCTCACTAGGCCTCCTCTCTCCCAGACTCTAATCTTGTTCTCCATTCTGCCTCTGGTCAGGACCATGTCTGATGCTCGTTTGTATTATCTGGCCCATGTCTGATGCTCGTTTGTATTATCTGGCCCGTGTCTGACGCTCGTTTGTATTATCTGGCCCTTCCCAGTGCCCTTTACCTCCAGGGGTACCTGTCCTCATCTTCTCAGGGCGGAGAGAGGCTCTCAGTTGGAGAACAACTGCTAATGATGGACCTCACCCAGATGTTGCATTTGGAAGTTAAATAAAGACATCTGTCCCTCACTGTCCTCCCCTCTCCTCTCGTATACGCCCTGTGCTAGGGACAAGATGCTTGCCCATTGTTAAGGGCAGTCTGGCACCATCAAGACCTAGACAGACTGGGTATGCTCTTCTTTTTCCTTTCTTCCCTCCCTCCCCTCCCTTCCTCCCTCCCTCCCTCCTTCTTTCCCTTCCTCCCTCCCTTCTTCTTTCTTCCTTCCTTCCTCCCTTCTTTTTTTCCTCTCTTCCTCCCTTCCTTCATTTCTTCCTTTCTCTGGCTCTCTTCTCCTACCCTGCTTCCTCTATTTACCCAAATATTTATTGAGCATCTACTTTGTGCTGGGCTGTGTGTCAAGTGCTGGGGATCCCACAAGCAAGACTGACAAGGCCTCTGCCTTCCTGCAGCTGGAACACAGGAGAGATGCGGCGACAAACTTGTGAACCAGCCCTCACCCCCAAGAAGGTGCCAATGGGGGACTTGTTGCCCCAGAGATAGTGACATTTGAGCCATGATCTGAAGGATAGAAATGCTCCAGAGCAAGGGAAGAGATTCTAGGCAGAGGAGTGGGTGGTGGAGGAACCCTGAGGCAGGACAGGACTTGCCTTGTGTGAGGAGCAGAGGGATGCCAGCACAGCTGAGGCACAGTGAGCAAGTGGGGAGGTGGCCTGAGTGGAGGTCAGGGGGTGGGCAGGAGACAGAGAAGAAGGAGGCCAGAGTTCACAGCAAGTCAACCGACATCTCTGCTGCCCTCCTGTCCTTTCTCCTTTCTCCCAAGCGTCATCATCTGAGCCCCTATGAAGTGCCCCCACCCTGGCATTTTGGGAAACTGGAAATCACGTCGGAGCTAAGGCTGGATTTCTCTTTGGAAAGCCCAGGTGAGGGCTCCACACCTAGCCCGGTGAGCAGAGAAACCTTCTGCCCAGTAAAACTCTTGCGCTTCCTCTGGAAGGACAGGGCAGAGTTCTGGAGTGAGAACGAACTGCGGGAGGCCTTACGCACAGAGAGAACAGCACAAGCGAAGACCTGGAGGCATGGCGGCTGTATGGAGAAATGCCAGCGTCTCATTCTGCTTTGGGGTGGGGCCACCAAGAAAAGCTGCTTTCTGGGTCTTTCCACTAGAAGATGGCAGCAGAGCGAGGAGGGGTGAGAGAAAGGTGAGGAGAAAGGGGGAAATGTGGGTGGAGCTGGAGGGGGGTGCTGGGCAATGATCCCAAGCTACTGAAATCGAGGAGGAAACTGTCCCAGGAGCTGCCACCTGGCCCTGACCCCAACAACACCCTGGAGGCT